CAGAGAGGAGAAGGGAAGGAAAGGCTGTTCTGTTAGTGAACAACACTGCAGGCTAATCTAACACGGCCCTGAATTGCACTGAATCACATTAATGTCAGTACTCTAAATTATTTGCAGACACCCCATTCTTCCACCACCATCATTTTTCCACCACTTCTCCCCAATTATAAAAAAATAAATAAAATCCCCCAGAGGAGCCCAGGGCACTACACACAGAGAACAGATTTCCCTTTCTGACGCTGTCTCATTGAATCAGCATTAGCTGCTTTCCACACACTCCATGGGAACCCAGGCTTGAACAATAAAAAAAAAGCTATAAAAAATGGTTTATGTTCTCTTTTACCTGCTCATTTGTGAATCAGAATATCTTTGAACTGAATAAGAAGTTCAGCTCCAGAACGCTGGTGCCACTGCCAGAGCACGCGGGGTTTGCCCTTCTCAGATGTCAGCCCAGGGGAAGCTGTGGGGCAGCAGCAAGATCCCACCCTCCAGGGGAAGGGGAAAGCTTTTGCAAGCATCTCAGACACATTTATGGGATCTGTGGGATCACAAAACACCCTGTGAGGGAACAGGTAATGGCATTTCCTTCCCACTTCTGTGGAAGAACTCCGCCATCAGTTATTGCAATTCCTTCTCATTACAGGGGCCACGTCCTTCCCCTCTCCAGACAGGCAAAGTCCAGCCTGCTGCTTCCCTGGGTTAATCTCTGCTTGCTGCAGGGACCAGGAATGCACTGGGCATCCCAAAATCAATTTCCTGTGCATTCTGGACATCCCAAAAGAGGCTTCTGTGGCAGAGGCACTGGTGAGCACAGCAGACGTGATGGGGCCAAGCTCCAGGAGCAGCAGAATCCCCTCTTGGTCCATATTCCTGTGACATTTTTCCTGCTCTCCCAGCTCATTTCCCGCCAAGGACAATTAAGCCCATTTATTGTGCGCTTTTCTGGATGACACTTTTCACTCAGTGCTGCAGTTTTGTGATGTGACCTTTCATTCCCCTCCTCTGGTGAGGGACGAGGCAATGAGGCTCAGTGAGGCTCCTGGAACCTGGGGCCGCGTTCCTCCACGTGGGAGGCAGCAGTGCTGCTCCTCCTGGGTGGCGGGCTGGCCATTCCTGCTTCACTGGAGCTGCTCACATTTGGCAGGCAGTGCTGCTGAGGGTTTTATCCTACTTGCAGAGCTGGATTTTTGCTAAGTCAAGGACAGCACGGCCACTGCCAGCAGCTTCGCCGCGGTTGCGTTCACCCAGCGCACAAATAAACTTTCCCCTCTGATGAAGGGATCCCAGCGGGCTGCAGAGCAGAGGAGGAGGATTGGAAGCACTATCTCCACTTGAGCTGTTCCTAATCCCAGCTGCCTGCACAGGCTGCTGCCCAACTCCAGCTCCACATGAAAAGCAGCAGCAGAGTGTCCCAGTCTGAGTGCCCCGGGGCAGTGGTGCTGGCCATGCAGGTCACTTGGTGGCAATGCAGAGGGTGAGGGAAAGAAGCTGCTGTCTTGGACAGTGGGGTTTGTGCTTGAGAGAGGCAGAGTAACAGGGAAAGCCTCTTCCCTGCCTTGTCCACAAACAGAATGTGGCTACTCTAGGAAACTTGAAGGAAATAGAAGAATTCCTGCAGACACAGAGATGTGGCCCAATATGCAGAGGCAGGAAGAGAACTCCAGTGTTTTGGAAAGCTAAGCTACTTAAATTCACCTTTTATCACCCCTTTCTTCCCTCAACCAAGCCAAAAGATTACACAATCCCAGATCTGTGCAGACTTTGGTCCCTTCCCAGGAGCACATACAGGGACGAGGCGCTCCAACGTCACATCACATCCGTGTCCCAAAAATCCTCCTGACTTGTGCCAGCAATACCCACCCCTGAGTGAAGCCAGTGCTTGATCAAGACCAACTTTGTCCCAGATGCAGAGCTGGAGTTCCCAGGAGCAGAGAGGAGGCTCCAGAGCACCCTTCCCTTCCTCAGCACAGCCTGTGAGACGCTCGTGGCTCCCACTGTCACCTGCAGGAGCTGAGGGTCCCTGAGCCCCTCTCAGCTGCTGCTCAGCAGACCCCAAGAGGAGCAGGACCCTCCCTTCTGCCCACTCCAGCTGCAGCCTGTCCAGTGAGGCAGCCAGCACGTGGCTGGAGCACAGCTAATCCCCTAATCCCCAGTTCCTGGAGTTCTGAAAATAACGGAATTATTATTTTTGGAAACAACACATGTTTCTGCCTTGCTATATTAACATCTAATCAAGAAGCCAAATATATTTACAGAGCACTTTTCAAACTCCCTTTACACACAGTGTGCTCGTGAATCACTTCCCTACCTGGGGGTAAAGGCTCGTGAATCACTTCCCTACCTGGGGGTAAAGACACGGGGCATAGATTAACACAGGAGCCAGCTGAAAATACCCAGGGAATCAGAAATTCCTGAAAGCAGACCTGGCTGCAGCACAGGCCACCAGGGCTCCAGCAAGCCCAGCACCCCCAGTCCGAGTCTCTTACAACCCTGTCCCACACTGGGGGCAAACAGGGCACTTTAAACCCTGGTTCTCCAGTGAAGAACAGCACTGGGCACCCCGGTGCCTTGTCAGACTGTTTTTAGCCCTCCTCTGAGCTGTTATCTACTACAGGCTGAGTATCTTCCTCAGTAATTAAAGGGCTCTTTTAGGACACTGCCCTGCTCTGTAGCTACACCATCTCTGCACACTGAACACTCTGCTCCTGCAAAGCTCCTGGTTTGCCCCCAAAAGCATCTGGGGATGCCAGAGCAAAGGGACCACCCTGGCACATAAGAACACCCTGCAGCTCTCCGAGCAGGGAGCAATGCAATGCAAAATCCTGCACAGAAAACACTTTTCATATCAAAAGACTCCAATTTCCTAGTTTGGGCTACTAAAACTTAATTAACCTCGTAACCCACCTGGTGATTTGCAAGGCATTACCCAGCGTTCTTTGGACCTTGAAATATTGAACACAGTGAGGCCCTAAGAGGGACTAATCCTTTCATAGAAACTGTTCAATTTCAGGAAATTGCCACTCTCAGTTTGGAATATTCTCTGTTAGACACTGGATGGGCAGCCAATAAAGCAATGGTTGTGCAGGGAAGAGGACTGGGCACCCAACACTCAGAGCTTGGTGTCCTGAGCCCCTGCCCTGCCCAGCTTCACTGTTCACAGCTGTTTTAATAATTCATCCAAAAACATCAAAAACACCACTAGAACCAAATTAACTACCTGTTCCTCACTTGTGCTCCATCTGAAGGTTTTGCTCCCTCAACACCAGAAGCTGAAGGCAAGGAACAACACAGAGGGAAAGATTCTAAATAATTCAACTTTCCTGCTGTGCTAACGTATTAGCTTGGAGTTCTTTGGGCTGGGATGAATGGATTTAAAGCCAGGGTTGGCACGGGTGCCAGGGTCAACTCCCTAGGAAAGGAGATAAGCAGCAAAATGGAAATCAGCTGGGCTTTGCACAAAATCTTTGTGAAATTATTTGACCTTTTAAATTTAACAGGAATGAGCAAATGAGTGTCCCATGCCCTGAATCCAGCAGCAGCCAAGTCCTGCACTGGGAGCAGCCACCCAGCACTGGACAGGGGAGAGAAACATCCAGCCATGAAGAGAGCAAATCCTACCACGTACCCAACACCACCACACAGAGGGACACACAGAGTAACCTCTGCTACTGGAGTTTTGAGTTTTATGGGGTGCATTACAGCTGGGCAGGCAAGGGAAAGGTGTTTTATCTGCAGCTGCTGGGAGAGAGCTGCCACCAACCCCACAATGATCACAGATCCCTCAGCAGGGGATCCCAAGAGGATCTACAAGGTTATTTCATTTAAATTTGTTGTACCATCTCCAAACAGCCCCAGCACACGCAGGGATGCTGAACCCTCACACATCCCTGGCCAAGAATCCACTTGGGACAGGCTGGGTGGGACACGGGGTGAAAACCACAGCAAACCCCAGCTCTGGAGGGGAGTGCTGAGGGGAAGGGAAAGCAAATGGCCTGGCTGCTTGCTGTGGAGACCAGGGGGCACAGCTGGATAGACCCCACAACATTTATCCTCCTGGCCAGGTCATTTTGTAAAGTATAATTGCACCCTGCCTTTAAGCAGCCCAGCAGACGCTGCTCAGGTGCGTCCTTCCTTGAGCCTCCATCCATGCCCTTTCCTGTCTCTCTCCTGTCCCTCTCCAGCTGCTCCTCATACCCTCCCCACCAGTGGTGGCCACTGTGTGCTCCCAAACCCCCTCATCCAGCTCACATCCTCCTGGTGTCACCTCTCTGCACTGTCCCCAGCACCAGAGATGTCACTGCTCCCGTTCCAAGGCAGGATGCTGCATTACCCAAAATGACTTTTCCAAGGTTTATATCCCTTTTTTTGTTATTTGCCAAACTTAGAGTTCACATTCAAAAGTATTTCTTTAAGCCATGCAGGGAGAACCCCTCCTGCAGCACCAAGATTTTCCCTCTTGGCAGTTCATCCATCATTCCAAACGAATTCCCGGATTTTTACACCGTTCTGCTTTAAGTTTCTAGACACTGGTTATTAAACCCCTCAACCCTGAGCATTACCATGTCGTCATCACTAGGTTTCAGAGCCAACAGTGTCAGTGCAATTAGGTACAGCTCATTAACATACTGCCTGCATGCTCTGAGCAAGTACAGTTCCAACAAGAGGTCTGTGCCTCCTTCACAGCCCAGAGCACAGACTGCTCAGGGCTCCCATCAAAACACCAGCGAATTTCAGCTCCCATTTCTGGAGTAAATTGCACAGTAAAGATTTAGCGGGCAGATGAAATAAAATTTTAGCGAGAAAACCTTTAACACGTGAATTAAATGCAAAAACCCAACACAACCCTCATCTATTCCTTCTGCCCAACCTCCTACACCCCCCAACACCATCCTGGTGAGCAGCAGGACCCGGCTCTGCCCGGTGCCCGCTCGGGGCATCGCCAAGGTGGGAAGCTTTGGCCAAGGCATCCCCCAGAGGCCGGGCTCCCTGGGGGCACTCACCAGGAAGCGAACATCATCAAAGCCATTCAGGAGCAGCTTGCTCTCGTACTGCTGCAGGCCGATGGACTCCAGCCACTCCCCGACGCTCTGCTCCAGCATCCGCGAACCTGACGAGAGAGGAATCGGCAGCCGCTTGAACAGGGAGAAACCGTTCAGGCGGTAGCAGCGGCACTCTGAGGAGGACAGATGGCATTGCCACATCATAGTCATTACCATAAAGAAACTCAAAAAATTATGCTCAGAGTACAACAAATCAGCGGGCTGACAATTCCTCTTGTGTGCACAGAGCATGGACAACGAGCTCGCGCTGCCTCGGCGGGCTCCGGGTGCAAATCTCTCTGCAGTTCACACTCGGAAAAGAAACTCCTCGCCCGGGCTGAGATTCAGAGGCGCTGCTGGGGCGCTGAGATCACAGGCACTGCTGTCAGGGCTCGCTTGCGAGTTCCTCGCCAGGCAAGCACATGAAGCCCAACCCCATGGGGATGCGGATCCACTCCTCGGCTCAGCGGAAGGGGGCGGGAGGAGAGCAGCAAACTTCCACCCGAGGCATTCCCAGGCAGTCGCAGGTGCGAGGGAAGGGAGCGGAGCTGCGCCAGTCCTCTCATCCACACACCTCTGGACACAGCCCCGGCTCAGCGGGGAGCACGGAGCAGCCTGAGAGGAAACAGCTTCATGCAGCCGAGCCAGCTCGGACACGGTGGATGCTCGGGAAAGCAGCAGGAGCCCAGGCAGAGCGGCTGGCCGCGGGAAGACACGCAAGACAAAGGAAGCACAGACTGCAGCAGCCGAGAGGAAGGGCTTGTGCTCTTCCTCCCCAGCAGTCCTGAGAGAGGCAAACCATGGCAGGGGCTTGGTCTCGCCGTTTCTGTGTTATGGGGACCCCAGGCTCACGTCTGGCAGCCCTGGCTCTGTCATTCACCAGCGATCCGATCGCTCGGCATTCCAGCACGCTGCCCGGACCTCTTGGCATTCCAGCACGCTGGCCCCAGAGAGCCCAGCCCCACCTCTGCACCGTGTGACAGCACAGCCAGGACGGTTCTCACCCAACACTGCTGGTCCTGCCAGGTGTTGGGCACGCACCTGGATTTGCCCTTCCTTCATTTTCTTCAGCCGAGCGCAGCCGCCGCACGGAGCCCCTCGCTCAGACGGGGAGCAGCTCTGCAGGAAGGAGGCATTTCGGTTCCCTGCTTCCGAGCCCACAGCAAGAGGAAAAAAGCAAATGCAAGCACACTCTCTCCTCTTCCTGCAGCAGCTCAAGTCCGAGCCATGCCCTGGCACCTCCCCCTCAGCCTCTGATAAAGGAGATTCCTCACAACACCTATGGAAGCCCTGGCAGATGAGCTCTCCCTTCTCTCATCCCTGGGATGAGTCCAGTGACTTGTTACTCTCCTCTAGTAAAGCTCAAGACCTTAAGTATGACCGAAAAAAAGTTCAGAGATCTCCTTTTCACCAGGGAATTTGCTATGCAAGACAGGCAGATTTCCAGGCTCCCTGGCACGTCTGTTTCCAGCATGGATGCAAAGAAAAGGAGGATCAGGAGACCCCCGTTTGCTTCCTTTGAACCTTCAGGTCAGCTGAAGCACTTTGGTACCTTCCAGCCATCCCTCCCCACTGTGCTGCAATGCTGCACACGCAGAGCTCGCGGTGTCACCTGCAGATCCCTGGGGTAATTCCTGCTGGCTGCTCCCGGGGTTGCTCCCGTGCCGGTATTGAGGAGCGCCGGCCGGTCCTTCCAGCGCAGATCACAAAAGGCTTCTGCCCCCCTGCCCTGAGCCAGCCCACGCCCCGGGGCAGCAGCTCAGCCCGGACTGTGTGCCAGGAGCTGCCTCTCTCCAGGTCTCCATCCTCCCCTCCATCCTTTATCCCTTCCCCGCGGTCCCTGCGCTCCGCCGGCTGCGGCGGCGGCTTTGTCTGAGCCGCGAGCCCCTGGCTGTCCCTCCCTCCCTCCCTTCTCCTCATCCTCTCCCCCCTCCCTGTGCTCCCACCCGCCGGGAGGGAGGCAGCGGCTCCGCAACTCTCCAGTGGAAATCACTGACTCCTCAGTATTTACTCCATGATGGACAACACGGCTCGGGGGTTTTAAAAAATGATGTCACAGGTTTGCTCCGACAGATCCAAGTGATTTGTGGCTGGCTCAGAATTAATTTATCAAGAGAGAGGTGAGGAAGGGCTTGCTGCCTACCACAGCATTCCTGGGAGCTGTCGGGGTATTGGCAGAAGGAATGAAACCACAGCAGCTCCTTCCTCAGAGCTCCTGCATTTAATTTTTAAAATTATTTACTCTATTCAGCCTTGTATGCACCTGTAAACACATTTCTGCTTTCAAAAGGGAAACCTACAGTGATACCAAGTGCAGGTTTTCTGTTAACAAAACCCTTTCAAGTCATGACAAAATGAAGAGAGGGAAGTATTTGGAGGGAGAGAATGGAGGAGTTTCTTTTAAAAACAGAACAGACACCTAAAACATTCCAGGCTGAAAACAAAGATGCCCCAAATACACCTGATATTTGTGTGTTACAAGGATGATACAAGAACAGAAGAATCACAGTACTTGTGCCCCCTGGCAAGATCCTGATCACAACTTCTGGCTGAAACAAACTCCTATTTCTCAGCTCCATCCTTCCCCCTATGCTCCACATTCTGGAATCCTGCCTTTGCTCTGCAGGAGCCCTGGCTCTGCCTCTCTCCTCCATGTCAGACCTTTCCCTGCTGCTATTGATCCATCACAGCCTGAACCGGTGTGGGAAGGGCTGTCAGAGCAGGGAGCAAACCCACACAGCCTCAACTCCTCTGCAAAGCCATCTGATCCTGGAACGCAGAGCCTGAATCAGGCTGAACTCCCACTGGGAACAGTGGGTTCCTCCTCACCTAAGCAAAAACCTGAGTGACAAATGGAGATGATGTGAGCTCTGCCACAGCCCGTGTGAGCTGTGTGTGCAGATCTGTATTAGCATCTCATTAGGAGGAGCTGCTGCCCATCCAGAGTCAGGGCTGTTCTGCTGCAGCAGGCTGGAGGTGAAGGATTTAAAAGGACAGAATCCCCTGTGGTGGCAGCTCTCCAGCTCTCTTGAGTTCTGCTTTTGCTCACAACTCAAAGGCAGAGAAGGGAATTCACATTTTGAGGGTTGTCCAAGAGCCTTTTTCAGGTGCATTTAGAAATGCCCAGTCCCTGAGGCACCTGGCACATCAGCCACATGCAAAGGGCATGGCCACCATGGCACCCACACTGGCACCATGCAGCCCTGCTCAGCACAGCTGCTGCCCTCAGGGAAAGAGCTGGGAGGAAAATCCTGCACCTGCATTCTGTAAAATTAAAGGAATCTTCCCAAGGAGTGTAGAATTAAAATTGCTGGCAGCAGCCTTGAGCATCATGTGGGAACCCAGGTCTGCTCCTCCTGTGCCAGAGCATTCCTCTCCCTCCCAGAGCCAAAGCAGGTTAAAGACATCCACACACAGGAGCCAGCACCTTGTTTGTGTGCAGAGCACAGCCAGGACAGACAGACACAGGCTGGGTACCCTACCTGAGATCCTGTGCTGCTCCTGGGAAAAGTCAATGCCTTCGCCGATGGAACTCATGATCTTTTCAATCTGGAAATAAAGAAAAAAGCATGTGTTACATTATTAATAAAGCTTCAGGGAAAGGTAAAAGCAGCTCAGGATTTCACCTCCCACGTGACAGCTGAAGAAATGCAGGAAAGGATGTTAAGGTATCTCTGAAGCAGAAGAGGCTCCCTGGACACCCTGCCTGGGCAGTCTCTGTTGGGATGGATGGACCACAAGGGATATGGAGAGGCTGGGGCTCTGCAGAGCCTTCCCTTCCACAACCTGCCAGTGCCTGGCAACAAAAAGCTTCAACAAAAGCATCCCCCAGCAGAGCCTGGGGGTGAGAGGGAGCCCCAAACTCCTCCCTCACCCTGCAGGAGCACACAGCCCCCTACACCAGCAGTGAAACTGCAGCAATGCTCTCACCCCCTCCTTCCCAGCAAGCTGACTGGGAGCTCAGCTTCCCCACACTCTGGTTTGTTGGGCATTTTTGCTTTGGCTTGATTTATTTTTTAAACCATCATATTTAACCCATATTTCCCAAAGGGTTTGATAACAGATTGTGTGGGATAACAGCATCACGGGGCAAATGCCTGAAGGACCCAGGAGAGGGAGCAGGAGACAGCTCCATCAGCTCCAGACAAACCTCAGGCAGTGAGGAAGAAAAGGTTCAAACTCTTCTGGAATGGGTCTGAGTCCTCTTAAGAGCTGCATAGAAATGGCTACATTTGCCACACACACAAAAGAATAAATTAATTGCAATTCCCAGTGAACTTTCAGGAGACTTCTTTAAATGAGAAGAGAAACTTTTCGAGCAATTTTTGGGCAGAATTTGTAAATTGAGGCTTCCAATGCAGTGGTGCAGAGGGAGAACTGACAATTCCCAGGTTAGGTTGTAAGATAAAGACAAACTGCAGCTCAGCTGGTCAGTTCAGACCCTTCAGTACTCAGCACTGAACTCCACTGTTGCCCAAAGAGAAACACACTTGAGAGGCTCAGGGCTGGTTGCCTACCCCAGTCTTCAGTCTATAACTGAGCAGAAAATTAAAAAAAAAAAAAGAAAAAAATGCCTCCAGTAAGATTCCCAAAAGGAAATCTCCCAAGCAAACACCCCTGTGAGGCACTTCTGAGTGGCTGCTGCTGAATGCAAAGTGACTGGCCACAGAGTGGGGGAATGAACCTCAACTCTTACTCAACTTTTTTCCTCCTGGTCATTTAAGGACATACTTGGGGAAGGAGTCCAAGTCGCCCTGGATTTCACCCCTGGCTGCCTCTGCCCTGCCTGGCTCCCAGAGTGATGCTGTGTTTGGTGCAGCTGCACGACTCCCCACTGCTGTGAGCAGCTCCTGGGGATGCTGCAAGGGGCTGGATCTGCCTGACATGCACCCTCAGGGGCAGCCTGGAGCTGAGCCCCACCAGAGAGGGGTTCTGGTGAAACAAAAAGAGCTCTTGCAAGGCTCCTGCCAAGGCAGATCTCCAGAAGCCTCTCCTCCTGCAGGGAGCAGCAGGCACTGCATTTGCAGGGTTAAATCTCACCGGGGACCAGGCAGTGCTGAGAGCTGTGACAGCTTTAAAGGATGCAGGTCCTCTGCCCTGGAAAACCATGAGGATGAGCACCTCTGTTGGGCTTGAAATACAATTAACACCCATTTACTGGGAGATTTGAAAATCAGCTTGGGAAAACATCAGAAGCTTCAGAAGTTTAAGGACATTAAACTTTGCAGATTGGTGCCCATCAGTTCCAGGACAAGGAACATCTCTGAGCTGGAGCTGCTCTTGGAGCTTGCCTGGGAATCTCTAGCTGGATTCAAATTGCAAATTAACTCTGAGGCCAAGTTCCTTTGTTTCCATCGTGCTGCTCTCTCCTGATCTGAGAGAGATTTGATGCTGTCCAGGCTCAGCCCCCAGCACTGCCAGCTCTGCAGTCCCAACCCTGCCTTGAGGACTTGCAGGTGCCTCTGGAGCGCTGAAACACCCACGACCTTTCCTCAAAAGCAGGGAATTGCCTTGTGCTATATAAAACTGAATGGAAATTAAACAATCACGTGGCAGAGGATTTACCTTTCCCAGCCCTCCTTTGCCAAGTGCTGGTCACAGTCCCAGCTGTTACCATTACTGCAGAGGGAAATCCTGCCCTGCCCTGGGCTCTCCACCAGAAGCAAACACCTCAAACAGACTCACACACCACGTCAAACACGGGTTTATGGCTGACCAGCCTGATTTAACTGTTATAGGAGGCTGCAAAGAGAAGCATGAGGGGAAGGACAAACCTAGAGAGGGAACCAAAGCTTTAGAGCATCCCCATCCTCTGCAGCCTCTCCTCAGCTGCACTCCAGCATGGACACGGGGCTGAACAGAAGATACCTTGAAAACAGCCTAGACTACAGTTTTTTAGGCTGTCCTTTCCCACTGGTTAATTATTAAAATACAAAAATACCATGTTTAAATATAGCACTGCAGCTCAGACTTAGTTGTAGCCTGAACACACAGTTCTGATTTGTTTTGGCTTAACCTGTATTTTTCCACTGAAGCACCAAGTGCCCACCTCTGGTTGTGCTGTGGGATTGCTTTGGGGTGGGGATTTTATGGTTTATTTGTTTTACAGCCACAGAAATAAAACCATAAAATACTTCCACCCTCTAAATTAATAGAACCATATCTGTTATCTCTGATGCAGAGGGGCAGTGGCTCCACGTGGGACAGACAGGGAGCCCTCAAACCCCAGCAGGGAAGGAGAAACTCCTGCACAGCTGAAGCACTCTGGGAGAAGGAAAGGCTGCAAGGAGAGCAGAGTGTCCCTCATTAACCCCACAGCAGGAATGTGCCTGCAAGGAGCCGTGGAGCAGTTACCAGGACTGGAGCTCTTGGATTTAGTTTCACATTTGCCTACATTTGGTGAGAGACACAAATGCCCCAAAAAAAGGAGCTGGGTGCGGCTGAGAGTCCAGCCAGGGCTGGGGCGAGCTCTTCCAGGCAGGCAGGGAACATAGCAACTGGCCAGTGCCTCCAAAACAGAGCCTGACTCAAAACAAACCACCCTGAGCACAGTTCTGCTAACAGAGGAAGAGACATTGGTTTGCAGAAGGCCAGCGAGGCCAAGCCAGCCTCGTGGCATGCTGGGGTCTGTCCTGCTGCAGGACGGGAGGAGAATGCTGCACGGTGATTCCCCACCTCACAGTGCCCATGGCAGCAGCAGCCAGTGGCTCCTTACGTGGGCAGGATGTCTCCTTCCCTGATGCCAGCCTGCAGGAGCAGCAGGGACGCAGGGGTGCACAGGTCCCACAGCTGTGCAGAGGGCAGTGACCCCCTGTCCCCAAGGGCACACAGTGCCCTGCAGGGGCTCTGCTCCCCACTCCACACCCTGCCCTGATGGATGCCAAGCCATGGTGTCCATTCTGATCTCTCCAGCTCTTCTTCCTCAGCCACTGCTGAAGTTTGAAGCCAATGAATCCATTCAGACTGAGGGCCATTAAAGCAGCCCCAGTGCTTTTGTCCCCAGAATAAAGAGCTTTACACAACACAGGGCAGGAGCCTCATTTGGGCAGCACCAGACTGACCATCACTCTGTCAGGGTGACACTCACCCAGTTTTGGAGGCACCTTGATGCTCCTGGAGCCTTCTGAAAGGGGCTTTATAAACCTCACCTTACACTCACCAGCAATGCAAATGCAGAAGTTTGTTCTCAGTCTCTGCACGCAGCATCAGAGACTGCCAAGGACACGGCAAGGTCACCCTGAGAGAACTAAAATCACAGAATCCTCAAACACTTTGGGTTAGAAGGGACCTTAAAGCTCATCCAGACCCACTCACTGCCATGGGCAGGGACACCTTCACTATCCCAGGGTGCTCCAAGCCCTGTCCAGCCTGGCCTTGGACACCTCCAGGGATGGGGCAGCCACAGCTGCTCTGGGCACCCTGTGCCAGGGCCTCTCTACCTTGTGTGGGTCAATGACTTCTCTGTGGCCCCTTCCCGAACTCTCAGCTTAAAAATCACCAGTGATTCCTGAGCACCAGAAGAGGACCTGCAGTGCACCTGCACAGGCCTCAGACTCTGGGCAGAGGAGTTACTCAAATAAAGGTCTGCAATTAAATAAAACCACACAGAACCAAGCACACACTATCTGCCATATGGAGGGCATTAGTGCACTATAATGACACCCTGCAGCAGGAGTATAATTAAGAATATAGCAGGATTCCCATTATAAATCCTTATTACTGAGGGTTCATAACCTACTGTACAAACCTGCCTGGGGCTCAGGCTCAGCACACAAGAGCAGCTCCAGCAGCAGATTTCAGTCTCAAATCTACTTACAAAGTTGGGTAGAAAGGTTATCAGTCTTTTAAATTTCTGCAATTCCAGGAGAGTGTCAGGAGTTAAGACTTCATTATTTCCAAGCTTTAAAAGCTGGGGGATGGGGCAGATTTGGTTTCAAATTATAATAAAAATGAACGCCCAAACAAGCTGCTTCTACAGTTTCAAACCCCTCTGAGCACAGCAAACCCCCAGTGATGATGTGAGCAGCCCCATCACAGCCCAGCAGGTCAGCTCTGAACTCCAGGGGAGAACTATGGGCACATGAGGTTGGCAGATGATGCTGAGGCAGCACAGAATCACTGACATTTCTATTCTGTACCAACACCACAGCAAACCTCACATCACTGACTGATCCTGCACCCCTGAAGGAGGACAGGAGGCTGCTCAGACTCAGCTGGGATATACCCTGGAGCAGAAGAATTGCAGCATGTCTGAAAGGGATGGAGCAAGAGAGGGATCTGGGATGATACCTGCTGACTCCTTAATACAGGTCCAGATCTGCAAAATTTGGATTTGGGCCATGAATCTCATTTCTAGGTTGGTGACAGCCCATAAACCACTTCTGGTTCAGTTTATGATGCTTCAGCTTCTGCTGTCCCGTTGCCATCCCATGGAGCACATGGCTCATATTTCACTGCTCAATATATTCCATGTCTCCAAAAGACACCAGCCTGTATGAACTCAGCATAACAAACACCAGAGGCCTGGAAAACATAATGCTCCATTTATT